TAGCGCCATATAACAACGTTTTAAATGAAGCGTTTTAACCATTCGACAAGTGTTTACATTAAAGTTAATTGAATTCCCATTATAACCGTCTTCTCATTATTTATTTACACGGAAAAATTTTGCTGCAAGTGTTAAAGTTCAAACCCATTGTCTTATAATCTTCGAATTTATATGGGATTATTATTACAGAAACTTAAAAAATTATATAGGCGTACAGATCCGTATAAGGTTTGATTAATACAGATCGTGTTAAAGTTGCATATAATTGAAGAGTATTAGCCAATAATAGGTCTCGTTTTGATCCTTATAATGGCTCTAGCCATATAGAATTAATATTGTTTTTGTTGTATCGTTTCTAATAAGGCTAATTTAAATTGCATGTTCTTTCTAAAGCAGGTCAAAAATATATGCCAGCCTTTGTTTGTATCATCTCCTACATATTCAGAGTGACGAATAATATTTTTTTTTAAATGCAAAAGGAAATACTAATCAGCAAAATTAAACTCCATGTTAGCATCATCAGCAGATGATTAAAACGGTTTTAATCATGCTAAAATGGTTAGTGAAACGCGCGTCCACTGCAAAAGGAAAGTGTTTTGGTGTATTGTGGTGAATTAGTGCTTTATTTTGCTGTTGCAACACTCAAGGTTCGAACTGTAATTAAACACTAATCTAAATTCACATTTCTGTATCTATGTTTAGAAGATTGATTTTAATAAAAATATGTATTGTAACACCAAGGATCTAACCCCCAACTGCAATCTTTTATGCTTTTGATAGGATTATAGTTATTTTTTATACAAGACGATAAAATGGCATTTACGATAATGCAATTTTATCGTCGTGAATAAAACAGTATTTTTTCCATAGCGAGTTACGTTTTAAAAAATATTCAGAAATTATTATTTCAAGGAATTTATTACGAGTAGAAAAAATATTGTGCTGAGTTGGCGTTGGTTTCTATGGAATTTGACAAATAAATAAAGCTGTCTTTTTAGTTGTCAGTTTAGTGTCAATATTTTTTAATTCTCTTTCGTGTCGATTGCTGATTGAATTGGAACCAGAAATGGCTCAAAACGAAATAAGTAAATTACCAACAGATATTCAGGCTGAGGCGACAAATATCAAAACTACTCCCATTTAAATCCCGAATAACTTATGAAAAGGAATACAAAAATTTTCAAAAATGGAAGCAATTAAAAAACGTGCGAGAAGAAATAAAGTTATTAACCTATCCTCGCTGTTAAAGTATCATTTAATCTACCCTTGTGGTTAAAGTACTATTTTATGTACTATTTTTGACAGATATATGTAAGGCAATTTTAACAGTTGCTATGGAAAAAAATATATAATAATGGATAATATCTTCTTATTCTTATATTACAACATTTTTAAGAACTTCTAATAACACAAGAATGTTCTTTCTTATTTACAAAATATTTATTTACGTCTCATATAATTTTAATATTTCTTTAATCTAATTTTGGAAGAACATTTGATAACCTAATTATTTCCTATTCTGAATAGCAAAATCGATCAGCCAATTTAATCACAGCCAAAAATAACTACGTTCATACATTGATTAATCGAATTACATTAAATTTATTTTTGTTATCGTGAGAAAATAACAAAGCTCGGATTGTATGCCTTTAATTTATGCTGGGAGAAATACCAAACAAAGAATATATAACAGACATTTTCTAAATTTGAATTATTCACCATATAGATTATGTAAGAAAATGTCTACTTTAATGAATGAATTCTGCTAAATTTATGGACTCGTTATCTTTGAATGCAAACAGTGATTTTATTGTTGAAGTTTTAATTACACTTTGCGCGAAAAAAAATGAGTGTACAAAATTAGATGTTAAAAATAGTTATAACAATAATTACATATGTAACAAAGTGTCTCAACTGGTTAAAGACCTTTTGGATGAACTGGTCTTTAACAAGTGTATCTTGTCTGTACTCGGAGAAGAACTATTAGAATATGTAGCAGAATTCAATTATCTAAGCAGTTTGATTTCTGAAAGGATCAATATCAGTCAACTCAGAAATTCAGCACATGATTAGCAGCGCCTCAAGGGCATTCTGGAAATTAAAAGACAGGTTTTTTTACAATCATGACTTGAGTACAAAAACGAAACTTACAGTGTACCGAGCAATAATAATCCCCAACATGTTATATGGAAGCGAAACCTGGGTGCCGTACCGCCGACACGAACGCATTAAACAAGCTGCAACAGAGACAACTGCCACAACTCTTACTCAACTAACTTAAGAATCAACCATGTCTCAAACGTATCCACGTGAATTCCACTAACTGGAACTGGGCAAGACATGTGGCTAGGATGACAGATGGACGGTGGACAAAGAGACTAGTGGAATGGAGAACAAGACACGAGGCCTATAGAAGCAGAGGACGACCTCATAGTCGATGGACAGATTATATAAAAAGAGTAACTGAAAACTGAATTCAAGTGGCACAGATTAGAAAGAGATGGCTAGAGTTAAAGGAGGCAGTTCAGCATTAGATGAGATAAGCTAATTGATGATAATGTTTCAAAGAGTAATTATTAGTAATTTATCTTCCTTCGTATACTTAGATTAGATTACTTTGCCAGAGTAACTGCCAAAAAAGAATAATAATATGCCTTTTCAATGACAGTTATGCAAACATAGACATAGACAAAATCAACAACTACTCTTTGATAGCTGTGTTAATGAGAAGCAAAAGAAAAGGCATGCTAGAATTATTTTCATCTACAGTTTCAATTAATACTAAAATTTAAAAAAATGCTATTTCCAGTTTTTTTTCTTCTACATATGTATTTATTAGTCTGAGTTTAGGTCATCCCAAAACGATTATCCTTTAAGTCCATTAAAAAACTAATAGCAGATCAATTCTTTTGTTACGGACATGAATGTTATGGCATATCGATAGCAGTAAACCTATTTTATAGGTAATTAAATTAATTTAGATTTCTTTCCCAGGGTTTTCAATGTTATTTTCACATTCAAAATGTTCTGAACTTAATAAGTTAATAAAATTAGTAATTGTCATGACTATAGCTTAGTGATTTTTTGTCTGGATCGTTTCCGCAAAAATATTCTATTTATTTTAATTGTTGTTAATGCTAATTATAAAGAGAGATTTAAATGGAATTGTGTAATTATTTTAATACAATAAATAATACCGTATGTTCGAGAAAAAAACGGCGTCAAAGGCATGATAATTTTTGCGAGGTCATTTACTAAAAATTGATATAAAATTTGTCAAAATTAACGCTAATTATCGAAAGATTAATAAAGGATAGAACGTTTCCATGCCATTATTTTCAAATTTTGAAAGAGAAGTTCACGAAATGTCGTTGGATAAATTTAGGTTAGTTATATCAATCCCGCGTAAAATGTTTTGTGCAATCTGACTAGTCTTCATTAGGTATTTTGTAAAACGACTGAAAACAGATAGGCTCTTCGTAATATATCCTTCTTTTGTTAAAAAAGCCGGCCTTTATGATATGCCTAGTCTTTTTACAAAATGCCGAGTTATTCGATACGTCCGCGACAGATATATCTTTTGAAAAGGCATTAATCAATATTAATGAAAGTATTATACATCCCTAGTCTGGTATTAAAATTATTGTCTAAATGTTATGAAATTTCTACAGTAGAAAAAAAGTTTAAAAAAAATATCTTATAAATTTCTTTTAGTTTTCTGTTATTCTGTATCTTTATTATTATTTATATAAGCATTTCCAAAGGAACAAACTATTATTTAGTAATACAAATAAAATGTTTAGAAAGTGTTACACAGGCGGTTTTTAATTGATTCAACTAAGCTTAATCGTCTAATAACAACAATAAAATATTAATGTTGTAATATTATCCAAATGCAACCTTTTATTACGTAACATTGTTAGCATTATCGCATTATCACACCAGCGAGTGCATTATGGTTAATTAAATTTAATATTGCATCTAATACCAGTATTATATCTTCTGTCTGCTTCGACATAATCTATAACAAACCAAATCCATTTTTATTCAAATTAGAATTTGAATTAGTATCTATTAAATGTAATCGATCTACCCGAATACAGGGTGTTGATTCTTCTGGGAATTGTAAAATCCGATTAAATAATTTATTGTTAACTTTATGACTAGTAAAAATTAGCTTATCAAAAGATTTGCATAATCCTACTGAAGGAAAGATTTTAGCCTAATAGGAATGGGACAATCTTCTTGACATTTATGTGTGTTTTAATTGACTATATATTTATAAAGCAATTCTGTAAATTTATTAGACTTTAATTTGATTTTAAATGCGAAAAATACAATACGAGAAATGGTATTCCTGTAACTCCAGACTTATGAATGATAAAAGTGACATTTAACCCCTGTCCTTCCTCGAGCTCCTCGTCTATCTTCAGTGATTTTTAACAATTATCATACCAAGTCTAGGGCAATCGTTTAAAATAATTTTTAAAACTGTGGGAATTTTTCCCACCGATTTATCTAATTTGACTGGTCCCATGTAAATTTACATATAAATTGACAGCGATCTTCATCTCATAGCCATCGCTGACGCCGTTTTTTTCTCGATCGTACGGTATATTTCGTAAAAAGAACATGATTATGAGGTTTTTTAGCGAAAAAAAAAATTGAAAATTTTAAATTTTTTGAAAACATTTTTGGATTTTTTTAGTTTTTAGTTAGAAAACTTATTTTCTTGATAATATGATGACATAGGTAGTAGATTAAATTCACAAGAAAGAACCAGAGAAGATACAGTGGTTCTCAAAATTTAAGCAAAAAATCATTTTTTTGGAAATTTTCAAAGTAAAATAATTCGGTTATTTTGGACATTATTATTTGAAAAACGGTAAAAAGAAAATTTCTTTTATCGAGATCTACCAGTTCCAAAAATATTTGCACTTATTTAAGACTCACCCTGTATAATAAATCAGCATTGTATTTACATTTTTTATTTATTTCAGAACAAGTATCGACATAACAACCTTCCACCAAATGACACTGATTCCGACACAAGCCGTCTCTACGACTTCGACACTAGAAGCGATCTCATCCCAAGTTACCACAATAGATCTGCCAGAAATTTCGAACCGCTATATACAGAGTGGACCAAATGGAGTAGATGCCTAGATTGTATGCAGCGGCGAATAAAAACCTGCATCAGTCCCAACTGCCACAGCTCCAGAATGTACGAAGAGCGAGAGTGTCACAAGAAACGGTGTAAAAGAAAAACGAAAAAGAAAATTTCGTTTCATGTGGTGCATTTAAATACGGTAATTTTCTTAAATATACAGGGTGGTCTATTTTTTTGGTAGTAAGCTCTCTATTAAGAAAAAAGACAGATTATATTTTACAGGGCGAATCAATATCAATATAGATTCAAAGATCAAGGAATTAAGTTTTAGGGAATGTTAAAAAATGTATATACCTCCTGTGAATCCTTACAGAATATTGAATTATTTGAATTTGAAGAAAAATTGATGACAAGAAATTGTTTTAGAGCAGAAGCTACTTGACAAAACAAGCACCGTCTGAAGTGTGGAGTAAATGGAGCAAATGGTTGGATTGTTCCTCAAAATGTCGGACCTATAGGGTAAGAAAATGCAAGAAACCAGGAAGATGTCGAAAATATGTACAGAGAGAGACAGCGTATTGTTACCACGAGAGAACTAGCTGCGAAATGTGGGTACTGAATTTGTTAGAAGAGAAACAACGTGAAACATCATTAGGTATCATCATTTTTATCGTAATTTTCTAGAAATATCGCCACTAAACAAGAAACTTACAGTAATAAAATAAAAAAGTAAACTTAAGCAAATTTAAAGAAGCCGTTTTTAAAACCAAACAATAATAACAACTTTCGCAATCCAAAGTATGAAAATTTCATCTCACTTCATCAGTTAAGTAGTTTTAGCAATTATATAAGTTTACATTTGGTAACAATCAGTGCTATATCTGACAGAAACGTCATATAAATTTCAAAATTATAGACAACATCAGTACAAAAAGACAATTTATTTCATAACTTTATATGGTATGATGCGCACTTCTTTAAAACATTATTTTAAGTAGGTACAAAACTCGTGTACCAATAAAATAATTCTTTGTAGTATATTTCTTTTTCCAGATGATAGAAAGTACCAGTACAGCTTCGACAGTAATCAGTTCATCACCAGGGAACCTAGGACGAGGCCAAGTAAATGCGGTGCAGCATTCAACAAACCTCATATGCTGAAGATAATCGGTGGATCAGAGGCACCGAAATATAAGTGGCCCTGGCATGTGGCCATATTAAATCAGTTTCAGGTCAGTACAGCAGCAGTAGTCAACAGGTCAGTAGCTTGCAGTAGTACCCAAAGAAGGCTTAATAGTTAGCTTATAAAACAATAAACATCTTATTTTTAACCACAATTTTCTTGACAGATGATAATTAAAGACCAAAATGACATTTTCAAATCAGATTTCAATCAAAATTTCAATGAGGTACAGCTTATGGTATTAGATTCATTTATTGCAATAAATTATTTTTAGAAAACAATTGAAAAGAAAATTAAAAAGGAAATAACTAAGAATTTAAAATTACGAAAACAAAAAATTAAAAGCAACGAAAAAAATGGGTAAATTATTTTAGTATTTTCCATAAAACACGATATAGAAAGTTACACATTAATGCATTCAAAGTAATTAAATTCCGAGGTAAAAGTCTCCTGGCACTCCACTATACAGGGTTTCCCAGAAATAAGTGCAAGTATTTTAAGGAGTGGTAGATCTCGATAAAAAAAACATATTTTCTCTTCATCATTTTTCAAATAAGTCCAAAATAACGGAATAAAATAATTCCGTTTAATAAAAAAATTCCGTCCAAATAAAATAATTCCGTTTGAAAACTTCCAAAAAAAATGATTTTTTGCTAAAATTTTGAGAACCACTGGATCTGTTCTGGATTTTCTTTCTTGCAAATTTCATCTACTACCTATGTTGCCATATTATCAAGAAATTATGTTTTTTAACTAAAAACTAAAAAAAAATTCTAAACAAAATTTCAAAAAATTCAAAAATTTTTTTTCGCGAAAAAAACCTCATAGGCGTGTTTCTGGGGTTAAACTATATTACCAGTTAAAATACTTGCACTTATTTCTGTGTCCGGACACCCTGTATAAATACGTTAGTTTATGAGTTTTATAATTTTCATGACAGTTCCCAGGATCATCCTAAAGGATCTTTAATATGTACTTTTTCTACCATATAAAATAGTACTTCTTGTTTAAGAGATATTTTATGTATTTCTGAATGCCTGTAGAAACATTTCCTGGCTTATTGAACAAAATTTAGTCACTATACCGGTTAAACTGGTTCCTAGAAATAAAAAAATAAAAAGAAAGTGCACTTCAAAGTATCCATAACCAAAAACATCAAACATGTATCTGAATTATAATCTAAAATATTTTTATTAATAGGATTGTGTGAAAAATATAAATAATAAATATAATAATTTTTGTAATCGTAGAAAATAGCAAACAACCATTCATGCATGTATGTAAAACAGGTCAGCTCTGGGTAAATTAATATCGATACTAATCATATAAAAATGCACTGTGGTAGAGATTATATACCACAAAGTATCATTTTCCTATAATACTCGTATATTGTGGCGTTTTTTTTATAAACATTACCACTGCGAACGGCAGCTTTTCATCGGAGAGCAGTCGTGGATAAGGTATTTCACTAGAGAGAAAACTAATCAATAACAATAAACAAAAAAATATAGATATTGGGCGCCAGGCATGTACAGAGAAAGAAAACAGTTGTATATTGAACGATACGGAATCCGATGACGATACGCCAGACATCATATATATCATATATAAAAAAGACATGTAACGAACTAAAAACGTTACAATATTTTATGTCGTAGTTAATGTGTTCAATAATACCGTATAATCAAAAAAAAACGGCGTCAGAGACGGCTGCGGAATGACAATCGATGATAATTTTAGCGAGGTCTCCAAAAAATTTAACACTAATTATAGAAAAATTAAATAAGGTAGAATGTAAAATGTTTAGGAGGGGAGTTAATCACCGCGACCTTACAGATCTATTGAGTGTTCCCATTTCTTGAGTTATAACGAGTTATAACTCATCATACAGTCTCAGGGCTTTAACAAAAGCCAGTTAAATAAGGTTAGAAGGTTGTGGGACCCACAAATCTATTTTCAAAAAATATTTTTCCTCCAATTTAAAACTCTACCATTTAAAAATAATTTTTACTGAGTATATACTGGCCGTCAGTCAACTGGCCGTAAGCGCCATAAAAAAAATAAAGAAAAGTACGGGATACGATCCAAGTAATGACGTCTAGGGCTTGACCTCGCCAAAATTATCATCGACTATCATACCCCAGCCGTCTTTGACGCCGTTTTTTTTTTCAATCGTATGGTACAGTTAAAAGAGTTAAAAAATTATACAGTAACCGCTAAAATGTTCGTAAACAAACAAGATTTTTTTATCGTTAAATCAGGAGCTACTTTCTGTATGGTAGTACTGCCAGAACATTAGATTTAACAATTAAGCACCACTGAATGGGAAATAATTTAAATCTGATGTAAATTTTGACCGAACCCTATTCAAAACGCGTTCATATTTGGTTTTATGACTTCGTCCTACTTTAAAAGGTATATGAAATAGCATTTTAACAACCGTAGGCAAATTAACTTTAATGTTTTATGCTATAATATGTCGTTTAACATTTAATAAATCGCAAACATTTAATAAATCTTACGACTATCTGCATCAACACACTCAGTTGGCTGTGACCCATTAGACCATTAATAAAAATACCTTCGAATACCAACTAACTCTAATGATCCATGTATTATTTATACGCCAATAAATTTGGTTTATTTGTTAATTACAGGAAGCCTTAAGCCAATAATTTTTAAGAGATTGAATAAACTAAGTATAGTTCATATCAAATAAACTTTTAGTCACGTGATTAAGCTTGACCGGCACAGTGTTGCCCACTTTTATATATTTTCTTTTAATCAAAATATTTTAAGAAACAAAAATAAATTAACTATAAATATTATATAAACAGTTATTATTAAATTAGCACTCACAAGTAAGACAAGGGTTACAAGGTAAGGCAAGGGTGTACTCTGTCTCCAACGTTGTTCAATTTATATGTGGAAAGAGCTGAATTCACTGAGTCAATCTCCGATAGTCCCATTGGTTTGAAAATAAATGGCATTCCAATTAATAATATCCGATATGCGGATGACACAGTGATATTGGCAGACAATGCAAATGATCTCCAAATCCTTCTAAATAAACGGAAGTAGTAGTTTAAACATAAATACTACAAAAACTAAATTTATGGCTGTTAGCAGAAACAATAAGAGATGTGGGTATATCGCAAAATGCTGAGAATACCATGGACTGACCGTGTCTCGAATGAACGAGTTCTAAACCAAATTAACAAGGACCGAGAACTCCTCGACATAATAAAAAAGAGGAAAGCAGCCTATTTGGGCCATATCATGAGACATAGCAAGTATGAATTCCTTCAGCTCATCACCGAGGGTAAAATTGAGGGAAAGCGCGGACCCGGACGACGGCAATGCTCCTGGCTGAAGAACATCAGAGATTGGACAGGCCTGGACTCACATACTTTGCTGAGAAGAGCGAAAAATAGAGAGGAATTTGCCATGGTTGTTGCCGATCTTCACTGAATGGAGAAGGCACTTTAAGAAGAAGAAGCAGAAACAATATTCCGAACACCAGAATTTACTTAAATGGAGAGGTCATCAAGCAGGTCACACAATTTAAATATTTGGGATGCATGGTTAACGAAACGTGGGATCCAGATCAGGAGATCAAAGGCAGGATCGAACAAGCAAGATCTACTTTTCTGAGACTGCGAAGATTTCTCACAGATAGGAACTTGAACTTCGGCGTTAGATACCATGAAGTGCTATGTCTGGTCCGTTTTGTTATAATATGGTGTGGAAGCATGGACACTGAAGGTAGCAACAATAAACCGAATTGAAGCCTTCGAAATGTAGACCCTACGATGAATGCTAAGAGTGCCCTGGGTCGACCGTGTGAGGAATGACGACATTCTCAGAAGAGCTGGTCTAGAAGAACGTGAACTCTTCGAAATCATCAAGAAGAGGAAAATGTCCTATTTGGGACACATACTACGTGGAGAACGCTATCACTTTCAGCGTCTGATTCTCCAGAGTAAAATAGAGTGGGGCAAAGGGGGAATAGGCCGAAGGAAGCTATCCTGGCTGAGAAATATTCGTCATTGAACAGGCATACAGGACTTCCAAGCACTCCAAGTCGCGGCAGTTAATAGAACCATCTGATGAGGAAGAAAAAGATGAACGCCTACGCAGGAATCTGCACGGCACTTTAAGAAGAAGAAGCTATCTTGTACCACTTCGCACTAAAAGAGGTTCTAAAAAGAACAATGTTCGACTGCAAGGTCTGTTACTAAACATTTTTAATCTTAAAGTATCACAACAATGTTTACTTAAACCAAAAACTCGTAATACAAAACTAAAATTTCAAAACGAGTGACAATGTCAGGAAATAAATAAATAAAAGTGGCAACTTGACATTTTTTAGAGCAGAGCTACCACCTGAATTTCCAGCGCGAAATTTAAATTCCAGTTAGTCAGCACGGCGCCGAATATCTCCGTTGTTGGCAACAATGAATTTAAAAATCGATTACGTAATTAAAAGTTTAATTGGTGGCAGTTTAATTTTAATTTTATTGTACTAAGTCCTAAAATATGTATTATAATTTCAGGAAGTATTCTGTGGTGGTACGTTGATAAGCTCCCGCTGGGTACTGACTGCAAACCACTGCATCAGAAGAAATCTGAAAGTGCGACTAAATGCCCATGACCTTCGAGCCAAAGATGGACGAGACATCATAATGTCCGTTCATAAAACATTTGGACATCCAGAGTAAGTTATTAGTTATTAGTCCTTAAGGTGACTATACACTTCACCACACACTGTCTCCTTTAGTCTGAGAATACGATATATTTAGCATACAAAATAAAGTCTATGATATTTATAGTATGATTCAGTTGGAAAAATTGTTTCAGTTCCAAGTATCACAAGAGAATAGAATTAAAATTATATTTTGATTAATAATCATATCTTTCAGTTTCGAAGTCCAGACTGTAGACAATGATATTGCTTTGCTATTGTTGCCTCAAGCGGTAAGACTACCAGTGGCGTGCTTGCCAACCAGAAAGCCCAAAGTGGGTAAACTATGTTCGGTTATGGGTTGGGGAAAAGTCCACACTACTCACTCCTATGGAGTTCCTATTCTCCACGAAGCACAGGTAATGTTTAGTTCAGGCACAGAATATCTAGCTACGCAACAGAAGCCTCGTTACATGTATAAAATTGTAGGTAGCAAAAGGAGACAGGCTTTTAAAGCCTGTCTCCAAATCAGATATTTTGATGCGGTAGTTTCGCTACTACATAATAGAGGGCAATAAATTTAAAAGAAAACAGTTTTCTACAAACAAAATTTAAAAGAAGTTTGTGCAGTGTTGCCATTGTGTAATTCATATCGGAATACTTCCTGATAAAGCCTACCTTCAAATTTGCTACATCATTTAAACATATTAAAATAGATCAGAGCTGTTTTTTTCAATTTGCCATGTTAGTTGGAATTAAATCTTATGAGCTAAATTACAATCACTTCCTGACGTTTGATTGTATAACTGAATCCTGAATTTTCATTGTAATTCGGCGACAATATAATAAGTATTGTTCTACTATTATGATACCACTTCCTGACGTTTGATTGTGTTCATACCAAATTCATATCGTATAATCGGGAAAAAACGGCGTTAGCGATGTCTATGAAATGAATATAGCTGTCATTTTATATAAAAATTTATATGGGAAATGTCATCGATCGTCCTTTTCCAGCCAAATGGACGCCGTTTTTTATACTATTTTTCATGACATTACAATATTATGGTACCATGAAGCATATCAAGTGATACTATAATATAGTACCATATTACGATACGTGGCGTTCGATTGGGCTTAAACTTGACATATTATATCTTTAGTGACATTGTAATATCATGGTACCAAGGAGCATATAAAGTGGTACTTTCTATAGTACCATATTTGATGACATAGCAATATTAGGTACATGGCGGCAATAGGGCTTAAACTTGGTATACTACGTATTTTCGGTGACATTGTAATATGATGGTACTATGATGCATATAAAGTGGTACCTTAAAATAGTACCATATTTCAATACCATTTCCTGACGTTCGATTGAGCTCATATTTGATATATACTTGCGTATTTTTGATGACATTGCATTATTATGGTACCATGAAGCATATCAACTGGCACCATAATATACTACATACTATATTACGTACATGGCGTTCGATTGGGCTTAAATTTGGGATACTACGTATTTTCGGTGACATTGTAATATGATGGTACTATGATGCATATAAAGTGGTACCTTAATATAGTACCATATTACGATACCATTTCATGGCGTTCGATTGGGCTTAAACTTGGTATACTAATTTGGTATACCTACTACGGATCTTCGGTGACATTGCAATATTATGGTACCTTAAAGCATATCAACTGGTACCATAATATAGTACTATATTACGTACATGGCGTTCGATTGGGCTTAAACTTGGGATACTACGTATTTTCGGTGACATTGTAATATGATGGTGCTATGATGCATATAAAGTGGTACCTTAATATAGTACCATATTACGATACCATTTCCTGGCGTTCTATTGGGCTTAAACTTGGTATACCACGTATCTTCGGTTACACTGTAATATGATTGTACTATGATGTATGTAAAGTGGTACCGTAACATAGTACCATATTACGATACCATTTCATGGCGTTCGATTGTTCTTAAATTTGGTATACCTACTACGGATCTTCGGTGACATTGCAATATTATGGTACCTTAAAGCATATCAAGTAGTACCATAATATAGTACACTATTATGATATCATTTCCTGGAGATGGGATTGGGCCAAATTTGGTATACTTGCGTTTCTTTATAAAGATTTGTTTAATTAATAATTTTAATTTATTTTACGAATTTTAATTTATTGTTTGTGTCGTGACAGCAACTTTTATGCCGAACTAATATATTATTAATTGTACCTGTGTCACTTTTTAAAATCTACCTAGGTCTATATAAATAACGTGGCAAACGGAAGAAATTTGTTATTATAGTATTTTTTAGTCAGTTAACATTTTTTGTACTGCATTTTAATAAATTATTTCCATTATTATTAAACTTATATTTCATTACTAACGTTCGAGCATTAATAAATATCACTATCAATCGCCCTGTATATTATTAATTTTAAAGGTAATTAAAGGTATTTTCTTAGTTAACATTATAAGGTAGTGTATATTAAAAATGTATATGTTTTGCAAAATAATATACTTAAAACTATTTTAATAGCCAAAGGAATAATTAATATAAGTGTATCTGACAAAGAAAAGAAAAGAATAGAAAGAAACATATACTGCATTAATTATACACAGTAAAAAGAATGAGATGCCAACTCCAATTCAAGTCTTTTTGAATCTGGCAACTGTGCATATTTAGCCGAGCTACAAGGCAGTCGACGAGCCGTCGATCCAAAACCGAAAGTTCAAAATTTCTAATTATATTCTGATTATGATATTGTCGCGCCATCTAGTATTCTATTTGTGCAATTTTAGCTCTTTCATTTCGAGTATTTTTCTGTTGCGTAGCCAGATATTCTGTGGTTCAGGGTCGGAAAAAATCATGATTTTTTAAAAAAAAATTTTTTATTTTAATAAATTTTAAAATAAATCCCTGCATTTAGCGGTCTAATGGATTCATACGAAATTACTTCAAAAATCGGTCCAACATTTAAATTGATGAATAGATATTTTTATATAATTTTATAACATTTACAATTATTTTTCGATTTATTATCTGTTATAGAAATATTTTTTCTAGTTTTCTAGGACACATTTTTATAACCTTTACAGTTATTTAATTCACATGATTAAAATTTAAAAAATCACTTGATTTAAATCATGCCAACCCTGGTTTAGTTTGTGTTTGTGTTTAGTTGTATTTATATATCTAAGTAGCTTGAATTCTCTATTTTCTATGAATCTCTTTAATTTTAGTTGCCATTGGTTGCCCATAAGATATGCAAGAAGGCATATAAAGAACTTCTGATCAGTGGTAACATGTTATGTGCTGGTTGGAAATCTGGAAAATCTGACACATGCGCTGGTGACAGTGGTGGAGGACTGATGTGTCCTACGAGGAAAAAAACGAAGAAAGTCACCTACAGGTAATCATATACTACCATGCTGGCAACTCTTACTTTTGGGTCGGTATTATTACAACGTCTTGTTAATAAATATAAACAAACAAAGTATCACGAGACGTAATTAAATCGTAAAGCTGAACGCACTGAAGTACTGATTGTGTAACTGCTGTACCCCCTTCCGCATCTCATAGCAATTTTCACAGATTCTCGGTTTATTTCATACGTTTGGCAACGTTTTTACTGTTCTCTCTTTGTTCAGTACATTATAAACGCATTGTACTCTTCTTACATACGGAAATCCAAACCCAAAACTAACCTTTGCCAGCCTTTAGTATACAAGATTATTAACCACACACGACAAGATACAGAGTGTCCCAAATAGATAAAAAATATTATAGTTGTATTTTTTATATGGTATATTATTTTATTTTTGGATTCTACGATTGAAATAAAGGTAAATTTGATTAAGGTGAAAAATGTGTATTTATTTACTTAAAGTTTGGTGTAAAAAATGAATATCCTTAAAAATAACATATTCTTTCTTTGCAGTGTGCAAGGAATTACCAGTTTCGGTGACGGATGTGGCATCAGAAACAAATATGGCATTTACACAGCAGTATTCAACTACGTAGAATGGATCAATAACATTATAGACCTTTACTCTTAATCACTATTACCTAACAATTATTTATGCGTTAACAATTTGTTAAAGTCATGAGAACTTGAGTCAGTAGTTCGATCGAGAATCGATGAGAAAAATGAATGAGAACCATGAAAAAGAAAATGTGATAAATACTGATACATGTACTATTTTAGAAATGATTACCTAGTCAAGTTAACTGCCATAAACATAATAATAATATGTACGAGAGACTAGTTATGTGTTAACTTAAAATGGAGTGCCTTTACCATATTAGTAAAACCATAGAAATACATAAAAAGCGATTTATGTAGAAGAAATCTTCCATTTTAAGAAAATCGTTTTATTCGTTAAATAAATATTTAATAAGAGCAAGAAATAATCTCACTATCTTTTAGTTATTCGAGTATTATGTAATTAACAATTTAGTATACTATTTTATTAGTAAGTATATAAGATATAATATACTATGAAAATAGTATATTAATATGCTTTAATTTATACAGGGTGTTCAAGTTAGTTGAACATACTTGAAAATTTTCTCAGAACTTTTAAATTCGTTAACTTTCCTGCTGTGCTACTACTTTTTAGTAAATCTTAAAACACATATATTAGCAGGATTTTCAACTGTTAGAGATAATAAAACTATATTTCGATTAAATAATTTTTATTTAGTCAGCTCTGTTTTTATTTATTTAAATAATAGGTACCAATAATTTTAATCGTCTTAACGTGACAAGAAGTATACGTCTAATAACTTAAAAAATAAACGCAATACAAAATGTTTTGGAACTTTTTAACATCATTTAAAGCAAAAAATACAGGATATTTACAGTCTTATACCGGGTGTTTTTCAAATGTGGCTCACCCCCAAAGAACAAGATTGGGTATGTATGACATAAATTAGGATTGATTCTGTCACTTCCTGTTTCACCGGAAATGACTACTACTTTTGATTTTTAAATGGCTCCCCCGGTATTTTTTACTTTATTCAGTAGAAAATTACACTCCGAATAGAATGACATATCATATGTCAACTTTTGTCATTTTCGCTCAAAAAAATCGTATTTTAAATGTCAATGTAGAGTGCCATGGCTGTGACAAAACACAAATTTTTAATCAAGGAGTCTTGGAAAATTATATTTGATAGTCTAATGTTTTTCGTGTCTTGTCCAGGCTCATATCTCAATTCTTTCAAATGGAACGAGGGTGGCTCATTCGCATATTTGGAAAAAGCATTTTTTACGAATAATTTGATACCACACACTGGGTATTTCGAGTCAAATTGTCGTTATGAACCGCATGTTACAATTTCAAGTAAACCATACGCGAAAAATGACAAAAGTCAATGACATATGATATGTCATTCCATTCAGAGTGTCATTTTCTATCGAAAAAAGTAAAAAAATACCAACGATGTCATTTAAAAAACAAAAGATGCAGTCATTTCCGGTGAAACAGGAAGTGACCGAAAACAATTGAATACGTCAATCAATCCTGATTTATGTCATATACAAACAAACCAAATCTGGTTTTTTTAATCTGAAAAAATAAAAAAGTTATAGGGGTCAGCCACTTTTGAGAAACACGCGGTAGATATTTTTTAAACAAACTATACACTATCTACTTATAGCTACAGCTTTCTCAATTCTTTTCACTCTGTGTTAAGCTTTTAAAATTTAAGTAGAACTAATACTTAACTGGACCGTTACTTATTTAAAAATGCCGTTTAATCGAAAAAACGGCGTCGAGTTGGCTTGGAATTAAAGATAAATGACATGTGCACCAAATAATTTTACATATAAAATGACAGCGATCTACATTTCCATGGCCATTCTACCACAGTTTTTTACGTACGGTATCATGGATAGGTAAATGTAATTTTAAATACATTTTTGTTAATAAATTCAGATACCAGTATATTTTATACGCGGGTTTATCAAATATCGGTTTTCTAGTTAATTTATAAGCAGACTGTCTGTTTCTATTTATTATATTTTTAGTACGCTTTTACTACTTGTTTCTTACTATTTAAGTACAATTAAAACTTTTTTGTAGTATATTTATGGTTTTATTTACACACATGTAACAAACGTCAAAGTTTCTAAAAAATAAAAAAACAATGTAAAAATATAGGAACTAAAAAACCTCCTTGGTTTTTTATATTCGTATTCTATTGACAGTGGTTCTTCAAACTGTCAAATTCAAAGCCCACGTCAGTCATTTTTTTTCATCATAGGCAGGGGCGGATACAGGAATTTATTTTAGGTAGAATATGCTTTTTAGAGCGCCATTTTTAACCCAAAAGCCTAATATTTTACCCTTTGAATAAGAAGACTAAGGAAGGAGCATAATGCTATCCATGTATTCATGCATGGTGGGCGGAAAAATCACTCTAGGGTGGGGATCTTTGACAGTTCTGTTTGACGATTCATTTGACACATTTGAATTTGATTTGAAATTTTGTGGATTTGTCAGTCTTTAGGGAGCTTATTTTATGTTATTTATTATTTATTCTACTACTGATAGTTGTATAAAGGTAGTAAATCTAGATTGAAATGGTGGCAGAACTTAAATTAACAGTGACACTATCGCGATTTATCGAAAAAGACTCTAAAATAGTTGGTTGTGTAGCGTGCGGTAGATCTCGGCAAAAATTGAGTGAAATAATGGAACAACTTTTCGCTAGTAAGTGACTATATAATATACATACGTGTAGTAAACCAATCATTTATGAAATTCACTTAAATTAACTAAATTATATATTTTTCTTGCATTTTAGCTTTTATTTATTGCTTGTCAAAGAATTTAGATACGTTAATTTGACTTACCTGCTTCAGTAGCGTATCGGATGTTTGTGTTAATAAATACTTATTATAACTTATCTATTTTTATTAGAATTATATATTTTTATAACAATTTTAATAACTACCAACATTTATTCACAACGTAAAATAAAACAACAAATTATTGAGTCTACCCCACGTCTACCCCACATCATAGTTTTACATTTTTTAAATAAAATTAGAACTACACTGATAAACCGGAATTTAAGTCGGCCATATTTGAGGCCCATCGCGGTGTACCTAACATTTTTGATATGTTCCTTCCTTAAGCTCCGCGCGCACTGCATCGGATCGGACCGACCAGCAAAAGCGACTGCGACCATCGTGCATATAGACGGTGCCGGCGTTCACTAAAACATTTCGGCCTGTAGAGGCCAGATTCCTACCTCTACCTATCTACGATAGTCGAGTCACCACCTTCGCCGTTTCTCGCCGGACTGGTACCGATTCAGTGCGCGTACACCTTAAGTCTTCTTATTCAAAAATTTAACCCGATTTATAGATTTTAGGGGGAGCCTTGGCTCCCCTCTGTGTCCGCCACTGATCACAGGGTATAATATAGAGGTTAGAGGTAAGTGTTTACAAAATTGGGTTGATTGTGTAAAATAAAAAACAGCCTTGCAACGTTTTTATAATGTTTTATTTACGAAATCATCACAATAAAATTTAATACCTATATTTACATGACATAATTATGAAACATACAGAATGAGAAAAAGAAATCAACCTTTCAGAAAAATTCAAAGTACAAAAAAACACTCACACAAAAAGCTTGACGGCAAGTCCGTTAAGGCTCAGCCTTAATTGATAATTCGATTATACGACCCCTTATACAAACAAATTATACATACAGGGTGTTTAAATTTTATGTAAACAAGAATATTAACATATACCGGGTTAGAAAAATCGATTCAGGATATATAGGAAATCCCATGTAAATTTTAAAAAGGTTAAATATTATCTCCGCAAAAGTTGTATTAGACTTTTTTGAAGAGGCTTTAAAGTTGTACTTTTGTCTAGAATTTCGTTTCATTTAGAATAGTCATTTAAAAGAGATAGAGGGTGACAATTGAAGTGGTGAAGATATACGGGGTGACAATTTGAAAACGAACAGTATTTAATATTACCTCTACCGATAATAGTATGAAAATTTGCCGAAATACGTCAATTTATATACCAAGGGGAACAGTTTTTGAGGCATTTGTTGTCGTGTTACTTTCAACCCTTTGACCCCCAGGGCACCTACCCCTAAAATTTTAAATGGCAATCCCTATTTCTTTTACCATTTTTGTGTTCCTTATAAAATTCTCAAAAAAATAATGCAGTTTATGTAGAATTCTATAAGAAACACAAAAATGATAAAAGAAATAGGGGTTGCTATTAAAAAATTTAGGGGTAGGTGCCCTGGTGGTCAAGGGGTTGAAAGTAACACGACAACATAATGCCTCATTTTTTTTATTCCGAATTTATTTCGAGCAAAAAACTTCGTTTTATTGCTGAGCCCTGTATATGCTCAAAATAAATTCGGAATAAAAATTTCTGACGTAGCATCCGTTAAGAAGGAATTAATTTACAATTTTAAAAAAATCATCAAAATATAATGAGTCCCAAGTAGCATTTTCACGACTTGCGACCACATGTTTACTAAACACAACGTTGGATTAGTTACAAAAAATAGTTAGCTCCCTACCATGGGTATTAAAATAAATTTAAACGTTTTTATAACATTGTGCCGACGTTGGACTAGTGCTACAGCAAAGTAGAAGCTTCTGCGACGTCGAATAAACGTTGTCTTGTAACCTTTTTTGCTTAAGTGATCTTTACGTGATTCGGACAACGTAGTTACAACGTTGGACAATATAGAGTTTTCCGACGTCAGTTTCAGGACCTATTCCAACGTTATGCAAACGTCGTCTGTTTTACTAATTCCAACGTTGTTTAGATTTCCTTATTCTTACGTTGGTAGGACGTCGAGTCACTACCTTTTTGCAACTGTATTGAACCATAACCTTAAATCCTAAATTTTCACTTCATTGTTCTGTTCAGTCAGACAGTTCAGTGCTGTTTTTGTTTTTTATAAAAAAAACTTAATTAAAATGGAACATAAGAAAGGTACATATAAAACTAAATTTAAATATACATCGACATATATTACCGATAGTTTATCCACTCCCTCGTTTATTTAGATTATAGAGGGCGGCACAAGCTAGACTTTAGGATGACTAAATTAGGCAATCTTGCGACTAGTATACTACCTGTTAAGGCCGAACTGCGACTTTATTAGTTCAGTATGTGACTACTCGAACTACTCCATCTTAATCTCCAAAACAACAAAGTGAAAGCCGCCATGTTGTTAAATAAGAAAATGTTTCGTTCCTAAAATGCAATTCCTGCTTTTTGAATACATTAACTTGAAATATTTGACCCTAAAAAACACGCGGAAACAATTTTTTCGACTGCGAATAAATTATTCTCATTTTACTAAAAAAAATTCAAGAAAATATTTGAAACTTCTTTAATTTTAAGGCCCATTAGTATTTTTCAAAGTAGAAACAATACATTTATCAATAAAGTTGTTTGCGTTTAACTTTTTTGCCTTGGGTAACGAGTTACAGAGTCGGTTAAAGTGTTTCAATAATTATTATCTTCAAACATCCTCCACACTTAAATACCTTTGTTTTGTTTTCCTTGACTGCCATCTGACTTATGTCTCTAACTAAATCATAAAAATAATATTTTTACTATAATTATCCCAATTTAGGATAAAACGCGACTTAGACGCCATATTAGTTTTGTATTTCTGTGAATTAGGATTTTAAACAACGTTGCAGTTTGTACTAAATTAGGCTTCTAGCCAACGTCGGTATCCAACGTCGTTTCGACCCAAAAATTATTCTCCAAACTAGTGCAGACTAGGGTTGGCACGAGGTTGTGCCGACGTTGCGCCCCGACGTTTGGTCGCGTGACACAACGTTGTCCCGACGTCCAAATGCTGCTTGGGGTGGTTCACGAGAAATCCAACTTTGAAATTGGGTATTTTAATTGTAGCTTTTTCTGGGCCGTATTATAAATTTTTAAGTCATTTGAAGTAGTTTTTTGCAAATAACTTTTAGATCCCTACTCCAAATAAAACGAAATTCTAGACAAAGGTACAAATTTAACACATTCTCAAAAAAACTAATACAATTTTTGCATAAAATCATCTGGGGGAGATAATATTTGACTTTGTCAAAATTTACACAGTAATGTTCTGAACCGATGCATAATCCGGTATAGAGAAATAAATATAAAGAAAAAATATTCTGTTGACGCCTATGGTACACCCTACATATTGTTCCTGATTTGATTAAAAAAAGTAAACAGTTTGACTGTCCCAGTGTATTAAAAAATCGTTTATCTTCTCTTACATTATTGAATAACCATTGCACTCTATATTTTAACACAAGTATTCTCTGTACACACATCTGAAAACCTAACGACTAAATAAAATTACGCAGCAATTATAATAGGGGAAGAAAAAAGGATTCGCTTGGTCACGAAAAGTTCGACTGTTTTAAAAATATTTCCGAACGTTTTTTGATTTAAAATTAATTAGAGCAAATCCATCCATTGTAAAAAAGCAATGTCTAAAATAAAAACATTATATTATTAAAAATACATCGGTTATAGGTAGAATAAAAAATTGTTTATAAGATGGAAACGTGTTATACACTGTGTGCTCTCTAAGATATACGTATTTTATTTGATACAATCTCAGAGAAATAAGTAGACATAGAGGAGCTCTAAAATATTTATTGATGTATATATCTTGTAATGTTTCCACATTTTACAAGAATATACATAGCAAAAACTTAAATAAACAGTATGTGCAAAAATATAATTCCAATATTTTATCGTTTTATTTCACTACAAAAGAAAAATAATAGAATAAAAAATGTTTGCACAACATCTGTTAACGGTCTTTTTTGCCAAATTGTAGCTCGTCAAACTGGCAACACTGTGAGTTTCTTGAGGTAAGTTTCGCTTATTTGCACAACAGGAAATATAGTTTTTTTAGATTAAGTTGGCATAGACATGACGAACATTTGTGATATAATTTTATATATAAAATGACAGATGTTCATTAACAAGCCTACGCTGATAATCATACAATTAGAAAAAAAAAACAATGATATATAACAGTTAACGAGCTTCTATGCTTATTTATTTCTCTGAGGATACAATTACTGTTTTTTTTTGGTATAGTTTACAACTCTACAAACCTTGTGTCATATTATAAAAAAATAATATAAATTATATGAAATTTACTCTAAATTTTCATTCAGAACCTCGGAATTGTGTGGAGTAAATTAGTGGTTTCAATTATACTTCATACTTAAGAATGTATGATCATTCACAATGTCTAAAGAATTACAATTAAAATTAATAAAATAACCCAGCAACAGCTTGAGGTAGTCAGTGGTATCCAAAAATAAGTAATCAGAACCTCGCACTTAGTAGAATAAATTAGTGTTTTACACTTTATGCTTTTTAGTTTACGGTCATTCACAACGTCTAAAAAACACAACGTAAAAACCTACTATGTCAAAGTTTGTAGAGCTGTAACCATAAATATAAATGCTTAAAATGTCGATATCGATAGGATTCAATAAATTTCAAATATGCCCGGACCTTGGTCCACGATACTAACTCTAACTGTTGGAATATTCAAAAAGTAAGTTACCCAGTAGTGAATCGTCCGAGTCGTCCGACCCGGTGGACAATGTGGTCCACGTGGCGTCGTCGCTGTCGTTATCCTCGTCGCCGTTATCCTCGTTATTGTCGTCGTTATTATCGTTATTCTCGTTATCGCCCGCTCCTAAATCTATGACGACATGATCTAGAATTAATTTGCTAGAAATAATGCGCCTACCAACGATTCCTGACGAGAAATGGAGTCTGCACAACCAATCGTTCAACTTTACGTCATATACCTATTGTCATACCCTCTCTTTCACATTGTCTCTATTGTCATTGTTTCAAAGTTAAAAGGGTGTAATCAGTTGCTTACCTTGGTTATGGTTTATGTTCGGTTTCTATCGGTTTCCTGAAAGTTTTCTTATTACGGAACACGGTTCCTAAAAAACTCGGTTATAACTGTCACCAAACTAACCAGCGCGACAAGGCTGGTTTTTCTGGTTTCGTTTGTCAATCAATGTCATTTATGTGACAGATAAATCAAGCAAATATTGAAAGTTCGAGTGAAATTCTCATTTAATTTCTAAAATTTGTAATAATATTTTGTATTTACATCCAAAAGCAATGGAGGTAGGCAGTAAAGATAAATAAATTTCATTAACTAAATAGAATGACTTTTTAGGGCCATTTAAACTTATCATGCAGCCAGTGTTTCTTAAAAAGTCAGGAACATTTAAAGAAAACATGAAAAATAAGACAACAAGTAATCGTGAATGTTTTGTAAGCTATAAAAATATAAATATTGATTAGATTTGTTTAATTATTATTGATCTGTTTTAATATATTGGACCTGCAAATCTTCACTTGAGCTGTCTAACGAGTTTAACAGTTTATTAATAAAGTACTTTTCAATATTAAACTACATTGAAAAGAAGAAGCAAACGTAAAAACAGAGAATAGGTACATTAAAAATGCATAAAAGATAAATTTTATAATAAAGGTATTGAAAACGAAAACATTTGACGTTTACAGTATTTTACCAAACCGTTCCGTATCAAACCGACGTTTTTCAAGAACAGCTCTTTACCGTGTTTACCGGTCTGGTTCGCCTGGTTTTGCAACGAAATACAGCCTAAATATCGATTCAGCTTCACAATCAAAATTCAATTCAGTTTGTTACTGGTATGTGTATACCTAAAATTGCATTGAAACACTACCAAAAAAAAAGGACAAACATCTCTTTCTTGTCTTACAAGTTAGTTCTACAAGATGAATGTAGTGGTCAGCTTAAAGAGATGTGTGTAGCTTGTACCCATAGTTCCCTATCTTTTGCTTCATGTACCAGTTTGTTTTTTTTTTATTCAATGATAAAAGCCAATAAAAAAAATCAGTTTGTATAGTGGTTTGATAGCTGGTGTATTCATCGGGAGGACGAGCTTCCTCTTGGTCTTTTTCCTGGAACCTTGCCCTCTATAATGAGTCTTTCTATACAATTAGTATCCCTCCCCATAACGTGACCGAAATATTTAAGTATACGTGATTGTATAGAAGTTGAGAGACGTTCTGTGATATTCAGTTCTTGGATTATGGATTCATTGGTTCGTCGGGCAGTCCAAGGAATTCTGAGCATTCATCGCCAGCAGTACATCTCAGTTCCGTCATGTTTTTTTATATTTCTGACTGCCTTTCCGTCTAGGACTCGAGGCCACACGGAAATGTTTTAATATATTTTTAAGGACCAAAAAAATTTGGAACGTAGTACTTGAACTTTTCTGAACAATATTAACGGATCTAACAGACAATCTCTACAACGGTTATTACGTAAACAATGATGACGTAAGGTTGAACGATTCCTGTACAGACTATAGATATATGATATAAGTCATTGAATTAAAAAACCAAGGAAGGAGTATATTGACAAAATTAGGAACACCACAAAAGGCTTTTAATATGACTGACTTGTCTTTTGGTTTATCAATAACGACTTAATTTTTTTAACATCTAATATATAAAATGCTCGTGTCACAGTTTTAGTTACCATACTCCTCCGAAACGGCTTAACCGATTTCAGTGGCGGATCTAGGGTAAAATACGTCGTGGGTAAAGACAAAATTTGGCGCCCCCACAATTCAAAAAATGTGTAGACTCCATCCTTAGTTTTTTTATTCAATGATAAAAGCCACAAAAATATCTTGTATATGTGTATAATATCCTTGTAACATAAGTGCGAAATACAGTCACAATAATGGCCACAACACAGTAGGTGGCCAACAAATCTCTAAAATGGTAGAGAAATTCTCCAGGGCAGAGACAGACAAAAAAGTTCATAGTAGGGCATTCGCTAAAATTTACGGTAGACCTGATAAACAAAGACAGGAGGACTGTCAAAGGTACAGGGTATTGTAACCTTAATAGGCGTCTAAAGCTGGTGGGATTGACAGACGAAGCTACGTGCAGATTTTGTCAATCTGAAGAAGACACGACAGAACAAATTTTTCCATTTACGACAGCCTGGTAAATGTACATCATTCACTGTATTAAGCAATGACAAACCATTCAGATTCCAAGTTGTTAGACTTCCTGAAAGGATACGAATGGAGAATATAAGCTACAGATCAGAGGAGGGGCCAAATATATCTGGAAAGGGCTGAGTGGAACAGGCTGATAGCTACGTCAAAAATATAGTGTAAATCACAGTGATAAGAATACATAAAAAGATAAAACTAAATGAATTGTATACAAGGATACTATAAAACAGATTAGGATACTTTCGGCTTCAGTAGTTTATGAAACAAATTTGATGAAAAAATTATTAAAAAATATATTTTTAATTACCTTCTGTATCCGATCCTTCATCATCGCTGTTGTCATTATCCATTTCATCATCATCATCTTCTTCTTCATCCTGAAAAAAAAATTCAATTTAACGCTGAACAAACTTGAATTTCGGGTTTTATTTTACCTGTTCGTCTTCGTCGTCCCTCCTTCTTCCAACATCGTACAACCGCACTACAGATTCCTGTACGGAATTGTACATTCCCTGGTTTTCCACTATCGAAATCTGCGTGTCGTAACAATTAACAGCCAGATCGTAGATGTTCTTCTTTACGTCTATGGTAGCTGTCAAAGTAATCACAATATATTTAAAGACAGTTACAAACATAAGTAGTACGAAAATCGTAAAACCAAAATACATACCTATACTAGAGTAATCATTCGAATCGACAGTTTTAAAGCTGGTATCGAAGGCCGTGTCGCCTTCGTCGATCTCGCGTTCCATCGAGATGGCGTAGAGGGCGCTGTTGACGGGTGAAAATATCACCGAGCACTGGTTCAGAACGGGCACGGTCTTCAGTAAGTGGAATGTTCTGATGTCCCAAACTTCCGTGTTGGATATAATCTGTGATAAAAAAAATATTGTTTTGATCATAGATTATTCTGTACCAGCTGGTCACTTTTTAAGTACTGTTGTTTAAACTGTATTTTGTTAATTAACTTACCTCAAGACCATTGGGATGAAACACGCCACTTTGGTTTTGATTGAGTTTATCCAGTTTGTGAATAGGTTTTCCGGAATTGACGTCAAAAAGGACACCGTCTGACAAAACCAATTCGTCGTTCATACTGAAGGTGGCTTTGTTTTTCGTGTACTGATTGCTAATCGTTGGCACAAGCTTTGTTACAACATTTCCGGTGTTTATATCAAATATCTGCACCGAAAAAATATAAAGATGTAAAATGAACTTCATATTGTAAGAAATTTTAAAGAATCTTACCGTCGCTACTTCACCCTTTGTCCCGATGATCCGGTCCTGTAATACTTTACTGAATTCTACGTGCTCCTCGTCATTGAAAGGAAATCTTAAAATATCAAGAAAGTATTAAAAACCCTGTAAAATTAATTTTATACAATTTCCCACAAGAATATCTTATTTTTCAACCACTAATTTTCAAGTCTAATCACCCAAATTTGTTATCACACCATACAAAGTATTCCACTAAGAATAGCGCTCGGCTGTATCTCGGAACGTATTAGCCGTATGGCCTGCAGAAAAAATTATTTGACTAAAGCAGCCATGAAAAATTGTTGGAAATTCTTTTCAAGTTTGCCAAACCGCCGCTAGAGAGCATAACTCCTATGGCAGATAAGAAAATGAAACTTTTACAAAATTTTCCCTAGATAAGGGGTACTATAAAAAATGGCGTCATAGTCTTCAGCAAATTTTGGATTTTTTTTTAATCTGCTAAAATAAAGTGGTGGGGGAAGGCTAGATCTGTTTATTTTAATTATTAATTAAATTAGCCTTATAGCAGCAAAAAGGCGACGCGACATTAACTTTAAATACTTTTTTTCTTTATATATTTGCCAATTAAAATAATTTTCATGCATTAGGTCTCTTTACATTGACAAATATTTCTATAGTATATCCAGCGATAGATAATTTATGATTATTATTATATTATCAGTGACAATTTTATTCAAAGAGGGTGTTTTATCTGTTATCTTTTATGTCATCATTTGAAATCATATATATTCTCGCGTTGAACAGACTACTATTAAAAAAACACATACATTTGGTAAGATGAGGGCTGGCAAAGGTTAGTTTTAGGTCGAGATTTCCGTATGTAAAAAGAGTACAGTGCGTTTATAATGTACTGAACAAAGAGAGAACACTAAAAACGTTGCCAAACAATCCAGAAACTGTGCACATTGCTAAGAGACGTGGAAGGAGATATAGAAGATCTGTCGCGGTCGACCCAATCAGTACTTTAAATTCTAGGAACTACATCATGCGTTCAGCTTCATGATTTAATTACGTCTTGTTACACTATTTGTTTATTCATTAACGAGTCGTTGTAATTTTCCCTATACCTTGTAAATTTTTAAGTGCAAGTTAGTAACAGTTGCCCTTTTGGTAAAAATAAGTGGAATTAAGTTGGTGTTCGACGGTGGTCGCGCTATTAGAACTCTGAATTCAAAAATCGATATCTCGAAATGCATTAGAAATAATTGATTGTAGTTTTTTTCAAAAACTTTTTTAATATTTCTGCGATATTTTCTTCGCAGACAGTATGTGAAAATGTTTAAGTAAAAAAGTTACATGAGTGCTAAAAATTGCTATACACTAAGTTAATGGATAGGTTTTTAAAATTTCAACATCTAAAAAAAGTTTCAACATCTAAAGAGATTCTTGAGTTATCGATTGTTAAAAAGTTAAGTTTTTAAATTATTGCGATTACTGACGTTTTCTCCTTATTAAAAAATGGACACCTTAACGATATCCTTATAATTCCGTTTCAGATACTCAGAAACATATCTAATGATTTTATTAGGTAGTATATATTAGTTATCTTTTCGAAAAAGAAAGCCTTTTAAAAATAAGCCGTTTGCGATCGTGATTTTACTTTACTTGATAGGATTGGGTACCGGAGAAATGTGGCAAAGCCGCAACAGCACACCATCGAATTTCTCTCACTCCGACTTAATAAGATCCCTATGCGATTCCACACATGAAAATACCGACCCAAAAGTAACAGTTGCCAGCATGGTATATATTATACTTACTTCATATCAAAGGTTTTCATGCCCCACAATGCCGAAACTGGTCTGCCCCACGTCGAACTGGTCAAAAGTAATTCTCCCGTACGATCCGGCTCAATATGAACAATATAATTGTCATGCGCAGCAAAACTATTGTCCTCAATAGCCGTTAACTTATTATAAATATGAATATATCCATTGTAATCCCCCACTATCACACAATTCCTTCCAGGCAGGAACTTAGCCACCGTGAAGAACCCCTCATCCGTAGACGACCTGATGGTTTGAACAGGACAAAATCGCGAATGAATAAACCTCCTGTCCATGGTCTTCGACTGGTAACCTAGGGACCTTCTGGCACACCTCATCACAAAATTATTCGCCGTGAATATTTTTGGTTTAGGATCGGGACATTTGTGAGGGACGAACAGGTTGAACTGTGGACACGTTGCCATGGGGTTCTTGCACAAAGCATGCTGGTTGGTCAGGTATTCAGTTATGATCGATTCAAGCGTCACCCTTGGTTGATCTGGAACCTCTTCCTGAGCGATAACGCCCGGTTGCCTAACATGAGGCTCGCTAGAAACTTGCTTTTGAAGTCGCGAGTTTTGAACAGGAGTCAAAGGAGTTTGAGGAGTTTTTTTGACAAGCTTGATCGTTCCTATATTTGGCGTTGTCCCGTTTATACTATTATTTGCACTAGTATTAACACTTTGAAGTGCACTGGAAATATTCTCTGAGGAACTTGAAGAAGGTAATGCTCGGTGACCGGCTGAGAAACTCAACCTGGTCCTAGTAGGTGTTAGATTAGTCGTGTACCTAAATTTAGTGGGGTGTTGCAAAGACAAAGAAGTTATAGCATTGCTCAGGCTGGCCTCTTTCACTAACATAGATGCCGTGTCTACAAAGCCCTTTGTAACTAAATGATGGTGGATTAATTGTAGTAACTGTCTATCGTTAAATTGAATTTTAGTCTGGGCTACAATGTTGGCTTTGTGTATTCTGTGAATGTTCGCTAGGGAAACTTCTAAATTGTTCCCAACGTACTTTGTTTTCCCGGATAATCGTTCTAACAACTCCAAAGCGTATTTTTGAAACATCACGTGTTCCTGTCGTTTTTCTTGTAAAATCGGATCGCGCATGAGGTTTTGAAGTTGTCCGCTAGTAAAAAGAGGCAGTTTTGAAACTATCTGTCTTACTGTGTCAGATCTGGCTAATCCAGCCAAAGTTTTACAGGCTAAAGTTCTTATACAATCAGCGTCAGTTATCGGAGTTTTCACGTTCATTAACTGAATAAGCACCATAATACCGCTGTTCGCTCTTGCACAGTCCCAAACTTTTTGAATTAACTCTTCGGAACTTTTATACTTAAGTTTTTTACTAGGGGAATTTGTAGCACCTTGGGAAAATCTAGAAACAGTCCCGCCAACCCTGTTGATAGGCGCGCACATACAGTTAACCAAAACTCTCAACGCCGATTTTTGAACGTCGGCGTCGGCAACTATTTCTCCTTCTGCGGCGCCGAGAATGATGTTGAAACCGATGGTAATGCTTTCTTCGGGAAGGTCGACTTTCTCGCAGAAGAGCAGTTGGACTTTTGGCATTACGCAGGCGATAGCGAGGACATCTAGGGCTGACCTAACGGTTTCGGCGCGGCCGCTGTAGTTCCACTCGTAAGCGAATGCTATAATTTTTAAGAGCAATGTAACTCCGCCCAGTTTTAAAAGTTGGTCTACGGGTGCCCAGTGGCACCTGAAAGGCATGTTCTGAAGAAGGAGTTCGATGTTCTGTTGGATTTCTTCTGGAGATAATTTACATGCCTAAATAATAGTATAAAAAAAAATATTGATATACTTCGTCCTCATACATGATGTAAATGAATAATGCTCCAATTTATAGTCATTATTTAAGCATGCTTAACAGTTTTAGGGGGGCTTACATTGAGATGTTTCAATATACTGTGAGACAAATGAGCTCGTTTAACGTTAAACACCTACTTAACTAAAGCCTCTAGATACTATTGAGTAACGCAATTGGTTTGCCCACTACTGTTAAAAAAAATGAATTCTGGAAACTTCGGCAGCATATTCTGCGGATAAAAATAAGTAAAAAAGTTCCTATAAATGTATGTCCTAATATGCTTAGTTTCAGAGATACAGGGCGTTGAAGTTTCATTTTTATTTCGATTTTTTCCAAATAATTTATGAAGTAACGTCAATATTTGAATGAATGTTGGTGTCTATAGTCTGTCCAACGAGAAATCCTTGACAGTGATAGATGTGTCTGTCATTTTAATTTCAAAGTAGTTTATTTTATTTTACAAAGAAATAAGTTGGTACAGCTGGAACGCATAGCAGGATATATTTAAAATTTGATTGACAAGGTGACAAGTGATTACTTCAAAATATTGTGAAAAAAACTGTATAAAACTGAAAAAACGTAATCGAGTTATTTTATTTAATAAAAACGGTATGTGTTAATACAAAACAAACAAGAACAAGACACTACATACCAAAAAAATATAAAAAAGAACTATTATTTACTTTCAAGCTTTATGAAACTACCCCCATTTATGATTATATTTATCAATATAACTTATGTACAAATACAAATTTGTAATATTCCACAGGAATAAATAAAACAACATAGGTACATAAAACAAACTATTTTATTAATAATAACACCTACCAAATTTTATACCTTAAAGGTTGATTAATTAACTTTAATCTTAATTTTTTTAAACCAGTACGTTTTGATATTTTTCTGCAGTACAAAAATCCATTATTTACCTATCGTGTAATGTCGATATTTTACAGCTACTCCAGTTTTTAGTATGTGTTTAGTTTGATCCTTCTACCATATACGAGATGCACTTATCTACGACGAAATGGTATACAAACCTTATCGATGGCAACTTCATTGGTGTATAAGACTTTCTGCCTGGGCAGCGAGTATTAACCATAAACTGTGCTCTGGGTCTACAGTTAATTTTCACTCGATTTTTCCTCCACTTGACTTCAAAAGACACAAAACACACGTAATAACAAGAATCAAAATGCATCATCTTCCAAAACGCAGGGTATTTGACAAAAGATGTCACAAAATTATAACCTATAATTTGGCAAGACTTTGACAAGCGTCAAAAATGACAAAAATCTAAAGGCGAGTTCATACGCATCGGCGTCCGTTTGTCGTTCATCGTTCCGTCAAACCAATAAAATTGAAATACGATCTGTCATTTTTAAATAAACCAATAAAACTGGTTAAAAAAACAACAAGACACGACGCATGACGGATTTATATTTAAACCCATCCATAGATAACTTAAAAATTATTAGAAACTTTTTTTAGTAAAATAAATAGATTGGTATGGGACGTCATCTGCTTTTCTTCCGTCATCGTCTGTCGAAATCTTACCTGAGAAAAAAAAACAGAGTATAGGAGATTTTTTTACATGAGAAATTTGATTTTGATATCAATATGACTCCTACTTGTAGAGGGCGCCACCTATATATTTTTAACTGGTTTGAAAAGTTAAAAATTTTCGTCCGTACCTGTATAAAACAACTGAGTAAAAAAATATATATAATATATCTAGTCAGCGTGTTTATTTTTTGTCAATGACATGTACTGGCTCTTTCCATTCTAAATATCTTGAGAACGGTTGCTCTTAGCAATTTTTACCAAAAGATATTTTTTAACTTAAAAGTTACAGAAATATATATTTTTTCACTTAGTAGTTTTATACATGTACGCACGAAAAGTTATTACTCTTCAAAACAGTTAAAATACATGTAGGTGGCGCCCCCTGCAAATAGGAGTCATATTGACATCAAAATCAAATTTCTCATGTCAAAAAACTCCCAGACACCAATTTTCATCCAAATATTGACGTTACTTCAGAAATTATTAGAAAAAAATCGAAATAAGAATGAAATTTCTACACCCTGTATCTCCGAAACTAAGCATTATAAGATATACATTTATACAAACTTTTTTACTTATGTTTATCTGCAGAATATGCTGCCGAAGTTTCCGGAATACAGTTAGGACCACCCTGTATATGAAAAAAAACCACCTGAATATTTTTGCTCTTATTCATTTACACCTCTTATAATTATACTTCTTACTGATTTAAAACTAACGTACCTTATATGGAGGAAGAGCAGACAAATAAGGCTTGTCATTCGGTCTTAGTTGCGACCTCTTGATAACTTCAGTTTTTAAATACAAGTGCGCCTCCAAATATCGCCTGTAAGCCACACAGACATGCCTGACAATCTGCCTGGCCGCACACTCTTGGTCCTCGTTAAGTTGGCCAGTGTCAGTGTCAGGTAACAAAATTGGTAAGGTAGATATCTTAAAACACACACAAAATTATTTATTTCATATTTTATGGTGGGTGAAAAATACTCACCACATTGTGAAGTTTCCTTAAGCCGTCCTGAGCATCGAACTCATCCAGAATAATCTTGAATTGAAACGTTAGACCAAAGAACATGATTGCTTGACATCTACCCGAGTCATGTGAACATTCCAAAAGCCACAATGCGTATCTAGAAATCGTTTTATAAAGATACCAATTAAAAAGTATAAAAATATAACTACTTACTTTACTAAACTTGTAATAATATACTTGGGTAACAAGCAAACCCTTTCCATAGCTTCTTCACAATATCCCAAATAATATAAACAAATTGACACACCGGTGGCAGCTATAGAAGGTCTAGGAACATCCAATAATGCTTCCAAACCTCTCATTTGGATAAACTCAATCGAGAACTTCTTGTGACACAAAAGGGCTGCCAAATATTTCAAAGCCTCAAAGGCCAATCTAGCTTCTTTAGTTGCCCTAACATTTACGTAACACAATATTAGCTCTAAAGCATTGTTATCATGAAATGCATGGCCTAAAAATTCCTGATATTCTCCAATAGGCGTTAGATAGCGTAAAATTAATATTTGACGTGTTGCAATTGTCGGGGGAAATATTTGAACATTTCCTATCATAAAATTTTCTAGTTCCGCCCATGATGAGTTGCTTGATTCTGCAAAAATTGAATTTGCTCTCCTTGGACTAACAGTTGTATCTAAAATTGATGAGTGTGGAGATGATTCACTATCTAATCTTTGTCTTTTTCGTTTATGCATGTCATTATCAGTGGTCTAAAAAATGTTTATCAGTTAATACTTGAAACAATTAATAAAAATATCTAAAAATCTACCTGAGGACTTGTAAACTCAGGTTCTAAAGACTTTTTTCTTTTATTCGGAGACTCACTAATACTAGTATCTTTACTTCCATCCAAAGATTCATTTGGCAATGCTCCATTAGCTGAAAAGTATCAACTCATCATTACAAATATTGTGTAAAGTTACATCACAAACTTACATACTACAGAATTTATCTTTATGATACCGTCTCCTCGATATGGTGGTGATTTCATTGAAGAAAAATGAGCAAAAGGCCTATTAAAATTAGTGCTGTTACAATTTTTAGTAAACTCAGACGAGTTCTTTAATCTCTTTAGTCGTTGTAATAAAAGTGGCACCAGTCGGCTGTTTTGCTCCCTAAATTTAGCCGCAATTTCAGGTATATCCATTGCAGCCGCTAACACACCAGTCGCATAACTTTGTAAAGGTTCAATTGAATTTGTCACCCATTTAATTAACCGATGTATAAGACTGTCCATATCCTAAAATCACGATAAAAACATAACCTCAAAACTGTTAATCACAAAATCTTAAAAAAACTTACTTGAAACACAACTGATGTCTCTAAACCAGGCATTAGATCCAATAACAGTCTACAAGCAGCAATATTCAGCTGATCAATGTCTCTATCAATAATATTATTTCTACTATAATAGGTGTCTCTTAAATAATCATTCAACAGCTAAAATATCAATATAAAATTAATTTTTTTTATCATAAAACATACAGGAAGTATACCTTGCTCATAAGATTATCTTTTCTAAACATGATTTTTAAAATCTGTCCTAATTTGCAATCAGGATCAGTACGAGAAGGGTGCCTTTCATCAAAAGGGTCAGGATCCATCTTTAAATAGTTTTCCATCTCCACTTCAATAATTTCTGCCATTCTGTAAGTAAAAAACATTACAATTAAGCTATACTGCAACTCCACTTGTTAAAACTTGAAGAATTATAGTAATTAAATCAACAATCAGCTTACTTGGTAAGTGTTGGTACGGGATCATAATTTTGTTGTAAATGTTCTTCTTCCCAATTTCTGATTAAAGATGTAATTTCCGTAATAACATTAGAAGCCGTAGTATCACTCATTTTAAACAATATCTATTAACAACAATAATGCATGAGGTATTTTACATAACCCAACTTTTCAAATTGTCTTTTGTAATAAAACAGTTTAAGGCGCTTAGACTTTAATGACTAACATATAGTTAAGCACAATAATGAATTCACTATGTTAATTACCCCCGAAATAAGTAAAACAAATTAAATTTAACAAAATCACTTAAGAAAAACTTTTCACCTCAACATCGCAGATCATTTTTGACATTATGATAAATTTACATTTACATTTCCACCAACACATAAAAATAAGCCATTTAATTTTCTACTTCAAAAATTAATTAGAAATCAAAATTGCTCAACCTAATGAATTTCTTACCCATAAAATTTATTCAAAATAATCTGATAGCTATTTGTAATGTACGAAATAATTGGAAATAACTTGTTTTATTACACTTTAAAAATCTTCAAAAAACATTTTCGTTTTTTAATGATTTTTACCTGATTTTGACGGATTGTCATTCAAAATTAAATCTTTGATCTGTGGATTTATTATTGGAATTTTCGCGTGTTTTGTCGGTATCGTCGGTTTTTCATCGTCTTAAATAAATTTTTCTAATTTTTATACATAATTCGCGAAAAATATGAGCGGTGACGGTAACAAAACGGACCAGTTTGATACCCTGTTCCTCAGTATTGCACAACACCATCCAGAAGGGGCCCATCAGGTAAAATTCTAGAAACAATAATCTAACCTTAAAATACATCTATTGTTTTTATTGTTAATTTTTCAGCTTTTAGACACATTTGTTGGATTTCTCGGTCGAAAAACTGATTTCTTCACCGGGGGAAATGAAGGGGATTGGGAAAAAGTAAGTTATATTAAATTTTTTAACCGAAATTTTAATTGTTTGTATTCTAGCTTGTCATGAATACATTTAAAAAACACGAAAAGATCAGCCGTTCTCGGCACGACGCTGAAGTAAAGGAGCGTAAAGATAGAGAAGCCGCTAAAAAAGCTAAAAAGGCTGAAGCGGAAGCTGTAAAACCAGCAGAAATTACTGAATTGACAGATGAAGAAGCTGACCGTCTTCAGAAAGAGATTGATAAGAAAAAGGGAATTGATGCTGTCCCTTCTGTGATAAACAACGAAGAATCTAATCCTTCCACGTCTGCAAGTTCTGCAGAGAAAATTGAAGAGGACGAAGATGAGTCCGAGAAGGGAAAATTAAAACCTAATAAAGGAAATGGGTGTGATTTGGAGAGGTATAAATGGACACAGACTCTGCAGGATATTGAGGTAAGTACTTCTCTATATTGTTAATTTTAATGTTTTTTTGAGTTATTTTAAATATTTTGGGAATTTTTGTCAGTGTTTAGGTATCTACTTTATATTTATTTGAAGTAGTTACTCTTATTGCCCATAGGTGGCGCCACAGTAACGAAATTGAACTTAAAATTTTAAGCATTTATTTTTTGTTATTTTGTTAGACCCTTTAATCAAATTATCATCTTTGTCTATGCTAATAATTATTATGGACTGGGAACTGTGACTGAATATATTTTTGATATTTGTTGGAGTTATAATAAAATCTTATTTGCTTGGGGTTTTTAAAATATTTATTCTGGCAGTTAATTGGGATATTAGCTTCAAAATAAAACACATTTATTTAATTGGTATAATTTTATGGGAAATAAATCTGTCAAAAGATCTATTTCCTGAACTAAATTAGCTTAAACACTTAAACAGAACTAATATATAAATACCTGATAAATACTGTACAATATTAAACTAAGTAAAGTAGTGTAAACTTTTTACATATCACAGTAAAAATAATGAATACCTAAGTACATTGTTTAGAATAACACTATATTACGCTTAGATTAAATAGAGAAAAGATACAGCATATATTCCGTCCACGACAGGATTCCTAACAGTGACATTTGTATCTGTCATTTTTTGGATGTCATCTGTCAAAATCTTGCCTGAATCGTTGGATAAACTATACTTATAGTCCGTATATAAGCATTCCCAAGATATAACAACTGTTTTGTGATATGCTGTATCTTTTAGATTATTTAATCTAAGCTATTAAGTAACAATGATACTCTCTGTCGATACAGAGAATAAATAGCACATCATTTCTTCCAAATAAGGTTCAAAATATAAACATTTGTTTTGATATTTGAATGGCACAAAGGGGGTTTAATTATTATTGGTAGGCCTTATTTGCAAGATTTCACAGATTTTCGCAAAGTATTCTAAAATAATAAGAGAATCCTGTTTATTCCTAAATTATGAATGTCTGTCTTCCTGGGATATTCTGAACCAATGGCTACAAGTGCGTAAACCTAGTGCGTAAAATCTTTTTATTTGGATTAGTTTTAGTACCTTTGGTTCCTCGCCCTCACTGAAACAGAAAAAAAATATCTTAATTATTGTTGAAATTACTTAAATCAAACTTCTACACCCTGTATCTTCGAAACGAAGTATGTTAGGACATACATTTATACGAACTTTTTTACTTATTTTTATCTGCAGAATGTGGTGTCGAAGTTTCACGAATTTTTCACCACCCTGTACAGGGTGGCGCCTCTCAGGGTGCATCCACACTATCCTAAAAACGGCGTATCAGTGTAACGGCGTAACGACCTTGAATCGATTTCCAGTAATTTTATTGGCTGAAATTTTTGACAGATGAATTTGACACATAAAATTTGTGACAGATGAATTTTTAAGCCAATAGAATTACTGGAAATCGATTCAAGGTCGTTACGCCGATACGCCGTTTTTAGGATAGTATGGATGCACCCTCATACGACGCGAGGCTCCAACGAGAACGGTAGTTTGTATTGAAATGAAATTTTATGAGCATATGTAGGTTAATTCAGAGCACTTTTTAAAAATATAGATAATTTTACAGAGTGTCTCCAAAGAAAGTTATATATCAAAGTTTTGTTTTTTGTAATAGAACAAACACCCTATATATTAATTGATTTTGCGATATGCACTGAGTATATGCTTCTTTAATAAAACTCATCTTTATTTTTTTCCTAGAATTCGAAAATCATTTGATATATAGGGTGTTCTATTACAAAAAACACACCTTTGATGTGTAACTTTTTGGACACCCTGTATAACTATATATTTTTATAAAATGATTTCAGTTAACCAACATATGCTACCAAAATTTCATTTCGATATAAACTACCGTTCTCCTTGGAACCACCCTGTATACATGGTGTCTCAAATTTATAAACCAGATTATTATTATTTTAAATGTATTAACTCGGTTGATTAAAAAAAGGTGTCATAGTAAATAGTGAAGGAATTTAGCGTTTCTACTCACTCTCTAAAAGTAATATGGCGGCCAGTATGCCCAAGGTGAACAACGTGGACATGGTAGTGACCAAAATGGTGAGCTGGTGCTTCCTACAACAGCTCCTCTTCGGCACTCTCGGTCTGGTGATCATGTTCACCACGGTGAAGTGCATCGAACTGGCTATGGACACGTTGTCCTGATCGTCGGTCTTCTTGGTGCTGGTCTTGGGTATGGACGCCAGGAAGGCGTTGTCCTGATTGGTCCGCTCCAGGTAGTACTGGATGTTTTGGTCTCGGGTGCACATGGCGCTGGACTCGCTCTCGTGCTTCTCCTGCTGGTTTTGGTGGATTTGGGCCAGGTTCGCCGCTGTGAGGAGGAGGGAACCTGATCTACCACTCTGAAAGAAATAACAGATGCATTAGCATTTCTGAAAGTTTAGTTTAAATAGTTGAATGACACCTACAGTGTTTAGTGTGCCCTTTTCGTTTTCTATTGATCTGTGTAGAAAAAAAATGCGTAAAGACAAAAAAAATCAGTTGACAGTTATTACAGTTACAGGGTGTTTCAAAAAACACGTGCCATTTCTTTCATCACTGAAAGCACTTGGATGAAAATTATAATAAATCGAAAGATTATTAAAAACTGTGACATTCTGTAGCTACGAAACAAAGCAGCATCAGACATACATATATGTCGATATAAAAAAGAAATCTAATTTTTACGTGAGGAACCTCCCCAGGAAAGACAGCACATGTTTTTGGAACACTCTGTATGCAGCATTTTTATTTAAAATTAGCAGAGGGATAAAGAATAATTAAAATAAAAATAATTTCGTAGCTAAATTTCAATATCAACAATGCATTAGCTTTTTACTTAATCATTGTTATTGAACGGCATGTTATAGGAACTTTAATTTCCTATAGTTCAACTGCGCAAATGTATGCAATTCTATTGAGGGTCAAGATAGTCTAAATAAGGTCATTTGACAGTTGCATTTTAATTTGTTTAGGGAAAATAATTATCGGAATTTTTCGAGGAAAAAAAGCTTTTTATATTCATTTACATTATATGTAACATAATTATTTTTATATCCTGAATTTATTACACAGGGTTAAACATACTAACGGAGTGTTGTAGCTAAATGATTGCATTTTTGGAAATTGTGAATGTTGGGGTTGTTGAAGGACTATAGAGAGCTACAATTTAAAATTATTTTAATAAAGTACAGAGTGTCCCAAATAAATAAATAAAAAAAATAAAGTTAAAATAAAGGTCAATCTGATTAAGATTTACCCTCGGGTTTACCTCAGTTAAATCTTACAACTGTTTTTAACATATTTATAGCTCAATAAAGTAAAAATGCGGTAAGAATTTTACCGCCTCATTTCTCCAGGTGTTTAAAACTTTTTAAAACCAAAGAATATACTGATCTTTTTTTTACTAATATTGTGTTGCAGTAATAAAAAATAATACCCACTGCATACAGAGGGTCTAAAAGGTCTGAATTACTTATCTATCAAGTTGCATTAACACGTTTGTTATCTCTTCAAATTTTCGTAGAATATGCTAATTTTTGGATTATTGGTGGATTAGATGGATCCATATCCATGAATTGTTGACATTTTTTTTAGTATTTACAATGTAGAATTATGGTGCCCGGTGGCGTAGAGGTACAGGCTCTCGTCTACCAACCTCAAGGTAGTGGGTTCGAATCCCACACCCGGCATTTCATCAGCCGACTATTTTTATTAGAATAAAAATAGTTTGGGTACCTAGGTCGACTCAGCCTTAAATGAGTACTTGGGATTCACAATCCTGAAGTAATAATAGGCGGTTGAAGCGTAGAACGGCTCTAGTATGGCAAGCTGTACCTTGCTACTCCCAAGGCGTTAAACGCTATATACGGGAGCTATTATTATATTTACAATGTAGAATTGTATTTTACCTGGGTACTACTGGTACTGGAAGTGGAGCCCTGCGAGCTACGAGCTAGTGTGGGTCTGGGAATGTGCCAACTCTTGTCGAGATCTGCGGGGATCTGAAAAAAATAACATAACTCGTTAAAAACATAATTTTAATTATTCCATACTGTATTTTTGATCATAAAACTTGATTGTTATTTTAAAATAGTTATAGCTTAAATTAGATCATATTTATAGATCTGCCTCTGCCTGTTCCAATGCGGCTATAGTCTCACTGTACATAGATTTGACAGTCTTTCTGTCTTTGCTTATGAGGTCCGCCGTAAATTTTGGCGAATGTTGTACCACAGATTAATACAGATTTACCAGTAAGACGAAGAAACTAAATAAAACAAAGATTGTATTCTTAATATGATGAATCCTTTTAATAAGAAGACTAAGGAAGGAGCATATCAAAAATTGTCCACCGCGATGGGCCCCAAATATGGCCGACTTAAATTCCGGTTTATCAGTGCCGTTCTAATTTTATTTAAAAAATGTAAAACTATGATGTAGGGTAGACGTGGGGTAGACTCAATATATTTTTTTATTTTACGTTGTGAATAAATGTTGGTAGTTATTAAAATTGTTATAAAAATTCTAATAAAAATAGATAAGTTATAATAATTATTTATAACCACAAACATCCGATACGCCACTGAAGCAGGTAAGTTAAATTGACGATTCTTTGACATCTAATCTTTGACAAGTAGTAAATAAAAACAAAAATGCAAGAAAAAATATATAATTAGTTAATTTAGGTGAATTTCATAAATGATCGGTTTACTACACGTATGTATATTATATAGTCACTTACTAGCGAAAAGTTCCATTATTTCACTCGATTTTTTGCCGAGATCTACCGCACGCTACACAACCAACTATTTTAGAGTCTTTTTCGATAAATCGCGATAGTGTCACTGTTAATTTAAGTTCTGCCACAATTTCCATCTAGATTTACTACCTTTATACAACTATCAGTAGTAGAATAAATAATAAATAACATAAAATAAGCTCCGTAAAGACTGACAAATCCACAAAATTTCAAATCAAATTCAAATGTGTCAATTGAATCGTCAAAAAGAACTGTCAAGGATCCCCACCCTAGAGTCCTTTTTCCGCCCACCATGCATGAATACATGGATAGCATTATGCTCCTTCCTTGGTCTTCTTATTCAAAGGATGAATCGCCATAAAAAATCTGTACCACAGATTAAGTTTTATTTCAATAGGGAATACATTTTTTAGAAAAGGCAACAATACATTCGAGAAAAAAAACTGACAACGTCATAGCTTTACTAGGTCTGAGGTCACGGCGGCGTTATCAGCAAGATGATATAAAAACAAATAAGTGCGACATCTGTAAGTTAATCTGTGGTTATACTATGAACTTTTTCGTCTGTCTTTGCCCTAGTAAATTTCTCCATCATTCTAGAGATTTGTTGGCCAGCCACTCACTGTTTTGTAATTATTCTTGAGACCTATTTTTGTAGCTGTAGTTTAGCTTGAAAATTAAGCAGAATATAAGCATTTATTAATTCATGAAACAATGATAATATATTTGAGACAGTCTTTAATTTTTATTTAACATTTTACAAGACTTATTTTCAGAAATAATACATTTAATAATCATACATATTTCATATTTTATAAAAAAAATAAATCAGGTTTTTTAATTCCCATTTTTTCTCAATTTGCTAGTATTACTACCTCAATTATCTGTGTTACATTAACCTTATTTTAAGATATATGTAAATTGACACGGAACTGGCCCCATATCTATTATTTATCTATGTTCTGTTCACTGGATATCTATATTAACGTCTATTAATAGATTTGTTATTCAAATTCAACCAATCGTTATGTTATACAGGTATTACGAAATTAAAATGTATTAATTTTTCGTGCTTTCGGTTCATGCTGAGAATTCTGACAGATTTGAGATGTATTAAAATATAAAATAAGTAAGTTTAGAGGTCGTGGAAAAGGTATTTTTAAACAACAATGGTTAAGAAAAGTTGTCTTAGTGACCTAAATATTTTTCTGGCTCAGAATTTTGACTATTGGTTTATGGGTATATTAATCTTATCTACAAAAGTCAAGGTATTTTTAGACAATGGTACTTAGTTGTCTATATTAAGCAATATCTCTATTTTTATAATGGGTGGAATCTAGGAGTACCTAATCTTATTTTGTTCTGAAACATTTTGTTTACTATTATTTGTTTTGTACAAATTTGTGGCGATTAAGAGTAATTTAGAGGAAGTATTAAATTCTACTGAATATGAAAATTCGATTGATAAATGTTTGTTTCCTCGAAAATATCATCTCCGACCTCGTACCATTGACATCGCGACGAACGACGATCATCGGTAGCGCGACCTTCTTTACCGACCTTTCCGTGTTACGTAACCAAAGGTGATTCGAACGATTATATTAATTCGTGTGAGTCCGACTTAATAATTTCTTTTTGAAGGCGACGATGTGCAGAGGTCGAATTTTGCCATGACTTTTAGCAGGTTGTTTCAAGTCAAGTTTAGGTATTTTGTTATACAATGACCGTTAAAATGTTTGGAACAAAGTTTCAAAATAAAATTCGTATTTTTGTCACTGATTTTTCATTTCATTTTTACGGTCTTTCTTGGATATTTCTAGCATATTTCGTTCCATTGAGAGTTGTGAGACCTGCAGCTTCTTTATAATGTCCCTTTTTTTAAATACTGCACATATTTGACGTCCTTTTTGTTTCCTAGCCTACTACTATAATTTTTAGACTATATAATCCTAAACGGCAGCCTAACACGATTTTTTCTCTTAATATCTCCGGATAGAGAGAAGATAGAAAGTTGAGGTTCGCGCTGATATTTTAGAAATTTTATGCTCTATTTAACTGTGCAAAGAGAAATATAACCTCCTATTTAATTTTTTTATGCAAAAGCGCAATATCTATTATGATGCCAAACAGCGCCCTCTAGCTACCACGAAAAAAATTATGGAAACAAAATTTATACTGGAGATCATTAAGGAAGAAATGCTCTTTTAAACGAGCTCTAGTTTGTTTAAATCGGGTAACCTAGACCAGAGTTATCCTTATTTTAATAAAAGCAAGTTTAAACTTCCCCCACCACTTTAGTTTATGAGATAGAGCAAAATACTCTAATCAAAAAAATTACAAATTTCTCGATGATTACAATAGTAATATTTAAAATACCTGTTCACCTGCATATTTTTGAGAAAAACCCTGTTTTCTGATTGGTTATCAGACAAACGCCCCCTAGCGGACATTTTTAGAACTTGAAAATAATTTCCAGCGATTTCTCTTGGTCGATTTACTTATAGAATTTTTTTCCTAAAGTTATACAATAAGTAGTTTCTGAGATACAGCCGGCGTCCATTTTTAGTTGGCCACCCTGTACACATTAGTCGATGGTTTTCTTCTTTAAATAAAGTGGCATTCTTGATTTGAAGTTTCTTCCATAAGTACTCCTAATATTTTTTCATATTTTTATCTTCTATTTTTTGTATCTATATTTTTACTGTGTCTATGATTATTACACAAACAGATTCTAATTAAATGAAGTAATTAACAAATTTTCTAATCGAGAGCTGAAAAATGTAGAGTTCTAATTGGTTAACATTAGTCTTCGCTTTTTGTGAGATATTCTACTCACAGTCCATAAACCGATAATGAGTGCAGCTGAAACACGCTAAAAGATTTATGTATTTGCGATAATAGGCTCAAAACTTATATCAATTTTTACCTCACTAACAGTCCAAAGACAAATGGGGCTCGCTATGATCTTTTTCCTGTTCAAAATAATTGAGTAGAGACGAGACAAGTTGCCGATTGCGAATATTTTAGTGGTTCTGGCATTTTATTGTAATGAAACTCGCAGTTTTGGCTAAACAAAATGCAGATTTAACTTCAGATTAGTACATAATTACAAGTACTTGCAAGGAGATTGCCTACAAGCACAGAATAATTAGGATGTCCTGTGTATTATTAAGATTTATTTACAGTTGATAAAAACCTTACACAAAAAATACGGTCTGCCATCCAAGGAATAATAATTGCAGTTGTACTTTTCAGCCGAATGATTAAAATTAATGTGTTTACGCAAAAACTGGTTGAAGGGTATATACAGGCCGCGTTTTGGTTTTATTTTTCCAAACTCATCTCCACAGAAACCGATATATCGGGGCAATGTATGGAATAATCTCGAAAATAAAATAATGATGATCGTCTTCAAGGATTTCTACTGCATTCCCCGGTTAGCTATACGCCCGGTAAAGTCTTATTTCTTTTTTGTTGTGCCATTTTCATCCGATACACTGATAAAAAATATTTTCTCGGTTTCAGAGAGCTCTTGTGATTTTTACGTAGTATGGTCACGTTATGAGATTTTCTTTCAGATATCTATCTGATTGTTATTTTGGATTTCAAAAGCAACAATTACACTTAATAGTACCATACGACTGAAAAAAATGGTGTCATAGTGACCTTTGAAACAACAGTTGACGCGAAGTGTCACAGTTGTTGTCGAAGTGACGCAGCTGAAATAGTGTTGACGCAGTCTATAAAAAAGTGAAATTTTTTGAAACAATCTTGATTTAAGTATGATTAGAGAAAGATAAAAATGTAGTTTCTTCTCCAAATTTTGCCAGAACAATTTGTAATATTCTCAAATGCGTTTGAACATTGACTGCCCAACTTGTTGATTTTTTGCTTCGTCTCCTTTTTTTCCAATGTTTTAATAGTTGATCTAGTAATAATTTCACCCTGTATATTGTATTTATACACATATCCCTGGCAAGAAATAAACGAATACCTACTGACTGTGGGTAGAACTGGTTTGAGACATTTTTCAGAATCGGGCATGATTCAGTGTAGAAGCATACAGATAGGTATTTAATGTGCCGAAGAAGTTTACCGTTAAGAAATATGCAATGTCAATTTAAAATATTTTGTAAGGCCACGAGAGGATTTTGGAGAATTTTTTTTGTTGTGTCTGTCAAAATACCTATATTATTAGATATTAATTGACATTTAAACTTCATCATTAGACACAAGTATGGA